TTTCACAATACAACAAAAACTTGTTTCTTTTGTGTATGTGCTCTAAATAAATAACAATTTTATTTTTTTTTTACTTTGTCCATATGAAATAAAGCCGCTCCACCCCAACTCGATACAATGAAAACTTTCATTGTGTATGTTACAATCAATTTTCATTGAATCGCGAAATTACAAATACACGATAGAAACATTTTTTCGCTATGTACTCATACACAATATTATAATATAAACAAGTTTCCCTTGAATTGGGAAAAAAAAATGCAATAAACTTTTGGGGTTGGGCGGGATGGGAGAAACTAAAGAGGAAGTGTAGAGTTTTCAATTTAATTATTTTAAAAAATGAGGTATGAATAACAAACCCTTTGTTCTATATAAAGTAAAAAATTAATATTATTAAGTGCAAACATTTTGGTTTGACTTTTACTCAATTAAAAAATTAGTAAATCACCATTATTAATCTAAAACTATATAAATTATAAATAAGTCTATAAAATTTTAGGTTTATTTTTATATTAATAATTAAACTACTTACTATCATTTTAATCTTTAACATATGCTAATATTATTACTTAAATCATAGTTTATTTAAAATTATAAATTAATGTAAATAACTTGTTGAATTTTATTAGATTCATGAACTAATGCAATAACATTATATACTTACAAGACTAAAATGATAATTTACTCTTTAAACAAAATATTAAAATGAAACTACTTGTTAATAATTTAATTAATCATAAACATAAATACTAAATAGAAATTGACTCATGAAAGATGCTGTAATGTCTTAATTTCTAGATACAATATTATCAATTTTATTATTATTTTCTTCTTAAAATAGTAATCTAAATTTTTAGTTATTATTATTATATATATATATATATAATAATAAATAGAGAATAAGTACAATATTTTATATAATTACAATATATTAAATTTTTATTACAAAATTTTCAGTAAAATAAAATAGAATTATATAATATTTATTCCTAATTTTATAATTATTATGATCTGATTAATAAAATAGAATCATATAATATTATTCACAATTTTATTATTATTATTTTAAGACTCTTAAATTTTAGTTAATATATTTAAAATAAATAGATAAATACTAGTGGCTATTTTTATAAAATTTTATATTTAATAAACTATATATATATATATATATATATATATATATAGTATGATATCCAATTATATTATAAATATTTATAATATCTTATTATTATAATTAGATACAGAGTAACTTATTTTAATGTAATACACATATAAAATAGAATGATTTAATGGTTTGTGTAGTTATACATAAGAGCTACAAATTTCAAGTCACAGGGCTCTATATATTTTTCTTTTAAATTATAGTAATTAAATAAATTTTATTTCATTATCTACAAAATTAACGAATGTGAGATAATACGTAACATCAATTGGTAATGTAATTGGTAATTACTCATAGATAATGATGTGGCAAAAAAAAAATACAATGTAATAGATAATTACTCATAGATAATGATTGCAGAGAGCAGTGAATACATGTATGGTAAATAATAAGAGCAGATATTACGTAATGTGTGATGCCAAAAATTGAACGGGAGCAGATATTACATAATGTGTGGTGCCAACAATTGAACGGGAACGCAAAAAGAGAGAGTGAAAACCTAGCCATTTTAATTATTAGGGGAAGAGAAATTTATCTTTTTAAAATTTTATTTTTTATTATGTTTATTTAATTATGTTATATTTTGTATATATTTATTTAATGAGATGTCTCTAATATCATTTATTTATTTAATTTATGATAATTTTTACTCATAATAATTAATAAGGTGTTCCTAGTTTGTGTTATTTATTTATTTTATAATATTTATCAATATTAATCATTTGATTAATATTCCCTAATACATTCCATTTACGTAATTTAGTTCAAGTATTATGATATTAATATTGTAGTTGGAGGTTTAACCTTGAAAATTTAAATGAGTAAAGAGTTAAGGTAAAAACTTCTTTTGTTGGTTAATATTATGATAATGCTCATTTATCCCGACTAGGCATTGCAAGTGTAATTCAATTTTTTATGTATATATTTTCTAGTATTAACTATTGCTACGTATGTTATGTAATTATTAATATTTATTTGAAAATTGTTCTCACTCTTTATGTTTCTTGTGTAATATATTTATAAAAATAAATAAATAAATATAGATGGACATTCTAGCAATTCTAGCTCCTTTTTCTTCAGTAATCTCTGGCACAACATGGAGTGTTGACGCTCTAGCCAACTCAGTTAGTTTCAATGGAGTAGTTGTGTCTTCATTCACCTTTTCTCCAAATCAAGAAATTTCAACTGTGATAGATGGGCCCATAGTTGTTACTTTTTATTTACCTCTGCAAATCATGTGAATCCTATTGTAAATATATTTCAACCACCTATGTAAATTTTATAGTAGAAAAAAATTATGGTATGTAAATATGTACGTATTATAATATATATGTAAAAAGTAAGTAACTACGCACGTAGCGGCTAATATTTTTAGTTTGTTATTATGTATAACATTATTAATAATATATATAAGATAATATTGAGATTAATATTTATACGACTAGGCGTTACAGATGCACTTTAGAGAATAAAATAAATAATAATAATTGATTAAAAAATTAATAAAAAATTATGATAAAATTATATATAATAGTAATAATATTATTATTATTTAAAATTAATTATAATACTTGTTTTTAATCAACGATTATGGTTATACTTTATTCTCTAAATTTCCTATAGAGAAACCATGTTCTACCTGCTATATAAAAGAGTGAAGGTATCCTACCAAATCTATATCAAAATAGATGTTTTATATTAAAATCGGAAGGTGTTATGGGAAATTGATTTTATGATTCCTTGCCCTTTATTAAACACTATCGTTTTGAATGATAAACTACAATAATCAACAAAAATTAACGGACGAGCTACCCGTGCTCTACCATATGCTACTTGTGCTTTTGCTTAATTTAATAGCTTGTGAGTACTGCTAGTTTAAGCTGCAGATAAAGTTAGAAGAAACTAGCAAATTGAAAATGAAAATTTATGCATTCTGTTTAAACAGCAGCAAAAATTAAAAAATAAAATGAAAAGGACATTACATAATGACAGCATACAGGGAATATAGCTAGATTAAAGCTTGTACAAACAAGATGTGCCTTTAGTGTAAGTTAATTGTCACATAACATTATATCCATAAAGTTACCGGTTCTTATCCTATAGATAGTCAGTGTCAGTGACAGTAACTTGATAAAGCAAGACTACTAATTTAAGTTTAAGTAGACCTCATTTCTGAATGAGGGAGAAAAGAATAGCCCTCTCACCTAGAAATAAATTGATATACAGTGTACATAAGTGTGGATTCATAAACTGACTTTTCAGACTAATTATACAATACATACTCGAGAAGTTTAAGTCATGTTCATACTTGAGGTTGGTTGATTCGAATTTGGATAAATATTCGATCTGAATAAATTTAATTTAATTTAGATTAACTCAAATTTCATAAGTTTTTTACTTAATTCAAACCGAACCTGAACCAATCTAAAGTTGATTGAGTTAATTTAATTTAGATTATTAGATATATAATGAGTTTTTTAAAAAAATTAAATTAAAAAAATATTTTTTTATTTTCAAAATAAATATTTTTTTTAACATTAACTAAATTGATATATTATCAAAAATTAACTAAATTAATAGATTTATAATATAGTTCATCTTGATTTCTTTTCTTAATCTACTTAAAGATTTCAAATATACTATTATATCAAAATGGTACTCAATATATTACAATATAATTTTTTTAATTTTTAAATATTTTAAAAAAAGAATGAAAAAATCTACATGTTATAACACAAAAATGTCTTTAAAATAATCAAAATAATACTTCCATATTAATTGTTAACTAATAAAAATGAAAGATAAACCAAAATGATACATATTAATGGGAAAGAATTGAACATTGAAGAACTTAAATAGTCCACTCAATTCCGTTGTTCAGGCCACCACACAATGAGGTCACAACTGTAAGGTGTGCCCTACTACCTATCACTTACTCGTTCCTTAATCTCAGTGCTCATGGCTTCCCAAGAGAAAATAACGTAACAACAACCCAGCAAGAAGTGATAGTAATTAGAGGATTTAGTGGCATCTCCACATCCCAGGGGTCCAATGGTTACCAAATGCCAAAGCCAAACCCCCTAAAAAGATGTCATTATGATAAGATCCATGAACCAGTGGCCCAGACAATATCTGAAGATTGCACCGATCTGTTCCAACAGATAAATAACCTACAATATCAAAAATCAAATATTTTCAGCACAAATATATGTTGGGGGAGGGGGAATGCATTGTTTATGCAACTACAGTCCAAAACTAACAATTTTATCCCTGTGAACAAGATTTGTCATTTTTATATTAATTTTGGATTAGGCAATTATGGTATTACAATTATAGCAATATATAGATTGTGACAAACTTGTCGAAGGCAATCAAGGTGTTCGCAGTGTTTCAAATACTAGACAGTGGCACGTAATGGGCTGGCGGTCTGCCCCAAAAACGCTATATAGTGGAATAACCACTAATTGGAAATTTTTATATAGAAGAGGGAAGTTTCACCAGATACAGCTCAATACTTTTATTCAAAATTTGGTGTTTATTTCTTGATCCCAACATATACACCATCTTTCAATTAATAAAAGAAAAACACAATTTTTCCCATCCCTTAGACCCTTACGAATGAATTATCAAGCAAATTTGTGAACATGTGAAACTCCCAATGTAGCACTAGTAAATTTTTGTATTAGTCATTAAAAATAAAATAGTTAAAAAAAATTATGAACATCAAGTGGTAATTTTTTTATTATTATCAGTATAGAAGTATAGCTATAATAACAATGTCAATTCTTTTTTTATTTGTCTTTTTTTTTATATATAATACGATGATAAAAATTAAAATGTGATATTACCTTTAGTGTGTTTTCCTGACTGAAATATTTTGAATTTCTTTTCCTTCTATGAGTAACCCTTTTGCTTGCCAACTTGGAGAGACAGAGAGAGAGAGATCATGTCACAAGAAGCTAAACATGTGTCGTGATTTGCCAAAGCCCTGTCAAGTTACTAAGAAATAAGAGTCTCTTTTTATAGCAAAGCATTATATGATAAAATTATATATGCAGGTAAGGATTCCAATTAGTGAGTCAAAATACCAATAAAGAAATTCAAAACTAACACTGGAATTTGAGCTTATAACAGAGGGAAAAGAAAGCAAGCTACAGAGACGGATCAGCACAAGAATTTCTAAGTTGAATTAGATACCTGTATGTCCCCTCTGGTTGCTTTACAGCTGCATTGAGGAAAAAGGAAGCAGCAAGGCATCTGCGAAATTGAAGCATATCATCTCCACAAGATGAAAGATTCAGACCCATTTGTTGAACATGTCCCTGAATCTGCCTGCAAATAGTATTTTAGAAATGAGAAAGCATAAATGTCTGGACTAGAGTACATCATAAATAATATTTTGATATTTAACTTAAAAATAATAAAATTACCTGTGAATGTCACGAGCATGTCTAAGAGACCGGCTATTAATAAAGTTTTCCTTGCACCATTTTCTATAAACCTTTTCACACTTTGCTGTACTCATTTCCATTGATCTCTTCTCCAAGAAATCATTAGATGCTCTATACACATTAATCAAAGTGATGTGGTCTCCCTCTGAACTTGAGAAGCATTTCATTGCAGTTCTTGCCTAATCAAAAATGGGAGAAACACAATAAATTTAAATAAATAATAAGCGGGAACAGATGGTATTTAGAGATATATGAAGACCAGAACCTTCATACAGTCTATAATCACTGTATATGTTCAAACATTCATATGATATTTACAGATATTTTGTTAAATTAGAGAGATAGACTAGTGCAGTATATAATCACTGACTCATCTTTGTATTATGTTTCATCAGAACAGCAAAATAGAATATGATAGGTAGGAATACAATACAGTCGGAGTTCAGTCTTTAAACCTCTTCTAACTTGTCACGAGGACTATAAAATATGGATTCCACAGAAAGCAGTGCTACAGTTATCAACATCTCCTCCAAGCAGTTAAACTGACTAGCTAAAATAAGAGCTTTGGAATAAACAGGATCCAAGGGCAGTCGAGCCATTTGATGCCCAACGGGATCAGATAGTTGACATTCATCTGTTAGGGCACCTAACAATAATAGCTGCTCGAATGATTTTAGAATAGCTGCCCTGTTCAAACAAGATATAAGCACAAGCTTTGAGTAATATTTGCAAACTCAAAATATTTTTAAAAATTATAGTAACAAAGATTTCTGAAAAAAATGCAAATGCAGTTCTGGAGTACAATGCGTGAGGTGAGACAGCATCACAAATATTTTAACTCACTAATGAGTAATGGCTGATGCAACAGAATAGAACACAAAATCCTTTATACACTACAACATTACATTTGGTCAATCAGAAGTGTTTGTTAACTTTGGGTTTTCTTCCTAAGACTAGCCACTCGTCAGTGGGTTCTGATGTTTGCTTGCATAATGGACACCATAAGGGAAAACGACTACATATGTCATGAGCACATGCACAATTAAATATTCGAAATGGCAGCACAACCCCAAAACTTCTATGGCAAGATAGTAGATAGCATGATGGCTGCTATACTAAAAAATTATAGATAAAAATAAATAATAAATTTAAAATATTGAGTTATTGAAATGATTGTATCATGTATAACACACTTCAGGACAATTGGACTTCTTCACCTAAATTTGTTTCCTCATTGGGCACATGAGTTCTTGATAAAGTACATTTTAAAATATTTTGTAATTTTCAGAGTCAGACTCATAGAGATTTATCTTAACAGATATAATTTCTTGTTCAAGTTAATGGTCCAAGCAAGTTTTTGATAGGTTTGGTCTATAGATTCTTCTGAGTTACTTCATTAGAGGAATATTCCTAAAAGTATTTCTGCAATAATATTATATACATATATATAATATATATATATATATAATATCTTTACTAAATTTTTTTTATTTATACAAATGCCATACTTTCTTATCCTTTCTGTCATCTAGCTACTCCTACAATCAGCTTTATTTTTCAACATAAAGAGAATTTATCAACAAAAGAATGGAATCACATAAATATCCACACAAATG